GCCATCGCTGGTTATTGGGGGCGAATCATTGGCCCCCACGGAAAGGGCTCGTAACTTGGGCGTGCTCCTGGATACATGGCTGTCTTTAGAAGAGCATATGATGGCCGTGGCCAGGGGGGCTTTTTATCAGGTCCGCCTGATATGCCAGTTGCGTCCCTTTCTAGATCAGGACTCCCTACACACGGTCACTCAGGCACTTGTCACTTCCCGCCTGGACTACTGCAATGCTCTCTACGTGGGGCTCCCCTTGGGGTGCACCCGGAGGCTCCAGTTGGTCCAGAATGCAGCCACGCGGGGGATTATGGGAGCGACGGGGCGCTCCCATGTGACACCTCTCCTGCATGAGCTGCACTGGCTTCCTGTGGTCTTCCGGGTGCGCTTCAAGGTGTTGGTGACCACCTTTAAAGCACTCCATGGCTTAGGGCCGGGGTATCTACGAGACCGCCTTCTGCCGCCAATAGCCTCCCACCGGCCAGTTCGCTCGCACAGAGAGGGCCTCCTCAGAGTGCCGTCGGCCAGACAATGTCAGCTGGTGACCCCCAGGGGGAGAGCCTTCTCTGTGGTGGCACCTGCCCTCTGGAACAACCTACCCCCAGAGATACGCACGATACCAGATCTCCGGACTTTTCGTCGGGCCCTGAAAACACATCTATTTCATCTAGCCAGGCTGACTTGACCCCATCCTTGCGGTTTTAAATTTATAATTGGTTTTAACTGGGTTATTTTAAATTGATGGCCAAAATTATTTAATGTTTTTTAAATTGCTTTTAAATTTTTTATGTTGTGTTTTTACCATAGCTGTTCACGCCCTGAGTCCTGTTGGAGAAGGGCAGTATACAAATTAAATAAATAAATAAATGAATAAATGAATAAATAAATAAATAAATAATATATGCTAATAATGCTGCATTGGTTGAAAACCCAAATGATATGCTGTGATTGTTTGACAGACTGTATGATACAACAAATAATAGATTTGGAGGTAGGTCTGTTTGATGGGAACAATGAAGCTAATGATCACAAATTATACATGAATGGCAAAAACTGGGGAAAAGATGAATCTGTGTACCCAGGTAGATGTTTTCTAAGATGGGAAAGTGAAATTATAAGCCATGCAGATGTTGATTGAAGGTTAGTGGTTAATATCTGGTCTAGCATGAGGAAAAATGTTTATTTTTATAAACGTTATTTATCCTGACCATTTGTTATATAGAAAGCAAGAATTTGATATCAGGAGGAACATAAGAGTATGTTGTCTGTAGTAGGAGTGGAGACCACGAGGAGATGTTTCAGCTGTAGAAGGAATGAGAATTGAATACAAAAGTCAATGATGAGCAGGATGTCAACTTGCAAAGCATCCCTGGCCTGCTCTCGAGTTGCCATAGGCAAGGGGGATGGGAACCCGATGAAGCAGCACGGCAGCCAAATACAGGAGCACATTCCAGACATATCTGTCTCAAGGCTGCCTCCCAAGGTTACTCACAGTGGCCGGAGGGGAGTGATCTCTACAACCTGCGAAATTGCCCCGTTGGTGAATGTGATTGTTGACACACCCTGGGAAGGAGGGGAAAACAGGATTATGATTGGGACGTAAATTACGTGGGATCAGAGTTGGCTTCTCTTGGAATGTGCCGGCATGGAGCTCCTAATAAATACCTGGATAAGCTTGCCTCGAGGCTCATGTTTCAATTAGGGCATCCCATTGGAACCCTGACACATGAACCTGTACTTTGAACTGATTAGGATAAGGATCATCAAATTACAAGTCAAATGGCTGGCTTGAGTTAAATTTTAAATTGATTTTAAATTGGGTTGTTTTAATTTACGGCCAAAATATTTAATTATTTTAAACTGTTTTTAAATTTTGTATGTCCTGTTTTTTACTTTGGCTGTTCACCGCCCTGAGTCCTATTTGGAGAAGGGCGGTATAGAAATTGAAACAAACAAATAAATAAATAAATGTATGAAAGCAACATGAATAGCTGGAGCGAAAGGGGAATATTGGCTTAAGTGAGTTGAGAAGATAAAAAAACAAGGCAATATACAGTATGATGCAACATTTGACTATGGTTCAAATAAATGAATAAATGCAAAACACTAGACTTGTCTGAATAATTACTTGGACTAAGTTTTTACTCCAGGCAACTAAACAGACAAATCTTATTGTTTTCTTGACAACATTTTTGGGAGTGGTTCCAAGGGCTGAGAGAGAGAGAGTGACTGGCCCAGGGTACTCCGTCTTGCTTAATGCCCAAGCCAACATTAGCTTCTTAAATTTTGGTTTAGCTACAGTAAACTGTCAAGAATGATTTGCAAAGGTAGGAAAAAAATAGAAAACAGTGGTGTTGGTTGAAACTGTATTTTTTTTTCCTTTACACATTGCAGTTCTTAATTTTTTTCTGCATTTTGTATAAAGTTGCTTACCTCAGAAGGGAAAATAGCACAACTGAAATATATTATCAGGTGAAATAAATAGATAAAAATAGTGTCTCACTACTGGCAACATAATGAACCAATTTGTACCTTGAATGTATCCAAGATGTCAAATATTTCCACTTTATTAGCAAAGAGAATTATACCTGTGAATTTCCACATATTGTTGGATTGAATTCCCAGCATCCTTCATCATCTGTGAGGTTGTTTGGTGCTGCCATAACTTGTACTTCAGCATTCTGGAGTACCATATTTGGCTTCTCTTTGATCAAAGAGCCACGGGTTGGTGAGTCTAGTTGCAGAATCTTATACTCTGTTTGCTTCATGGAAATCACTTCTGAGCTCTACAAATCAATATGTTTTGCATATTATTCACAGAACATAAAGTAAAGTTAGTGCAAATACAGCCGTACAATTATTGAACAGCACATAATGACGAAATTATATCAACCCTACTATAAAGTGACAAAATCTAACTGCATGTTCATTTGACAAGCTTTTCTTTCCAGTTCTGTATACAAGGACTTAAGAGCAGTAAAAAAGCGTTCAGTTGTAGATGTTTTTTCTTTCTTTCTTAATATGAGGGGGAAAAAATCAGAGAAGGTCATTTCAAACACATATCCACATTGTTCTCATGTCTATTTGAAGAACAATTTCTATCAAACATCACATCATCATTTTTCCCAACAAGCACTTTAACTTAGCGATCCCCTCAGAGAAGGGGGGGGAGAGAATTAGATACAATTATTCAAGATATTTTTTAAAAATGTCCTGCCACATTTCAAAGACACTTTTTGTTTGAATATAATTTTTAAGAATTTTGATTACCATAGTAAAAACTAACACAAACTAGGCTCAGAAAGAGAATGGAATTGAGAAAAATACAGGAAAAAAAGAAATATATATATAAATTTGGTATAAAATGGTTTGTCGAGAATGCGACTGCTTGAGGGCTCCTGGATTGGAGCTGAAAGGCGAAAGGGATGCAGTATGCTCCCTCCCACATGTTGGGGTAGACCAGATGCCGCGATAGAAAAATACTTAATCTCTCCCCTGGCTCAAGCTGATGAAGGGAGGAGAACTTGTGGCTCAGAGGTTAATACAACTGCCTAACAGAGAGAGAGAGAGAGAGAGAGAGAGACAGACAGACAGACAGACAGACAGAGACAGAGAGAAAGAGAATAGAATTGGAAAAAAATACAGGAAAAAAAAGAACACACACACACATGATAAAGAAACATACAAAATATGAAGAAGAAGGTCACAAATAATGATCAAGTCGCTGCTACCATACATGCTGGTTGCCAAGGGCAATTTTAATATGTGATCGTGGGAATGGTTGTAAGTATGAGGACTGCTCTTAAATCACTTTTTTAGTGGTGTCATAATGTCAGACAGTCACTAAACAAAGGGTTGTAAGTCAAGGACTATTTTTATAAAAGGAGTCGCTGCAGCTTTTATTCTGCTAGTCGTTGTTGATTATAGGGAGTGGTGCTCATCTCTGTTTCAAGTCCATTGAGCCAGTGCTATCTGAAGACATTTCCATGGTCATGCAGCCAGCATGACATCATGGAGCACTGTTACCTTTCCACCTAAGTGATACCTATTTATCTACTCATATTTGCATCAGGGGTGGGTTCTAATTTTTTTTACTACCGGTTCTGTGGGCGTGGCTTATTTTGTGGGCGTGGTTTGATGGTCATGTGACAATTATTTAGGATTTAGCAAAGGTACTGGTCTACCAGGCTTTTAACTGCTTGCAGAGCTGTACCGGTCTACCCATTTATTTTTGCAGGCACTGATCTACTCATGTATTTTTGCAGGCACTGATCTACTCATGTATTTTTGCATGCACTGGTCTACCCATGTATTTTTGCAGGCACTGATCTACTCATGTATTTTTGCAGGCACTGATCTACCCATTTATTTTTGCAGGCACTGATCTACTCATGTATTTTTGCAGGCACTGGTCTACCCATTTATTTTTGCAGGCACTGATCTACTCATGTATTTTTGCAGACACAGGTCTACTCATTTGTTTTCTTTTAACGCTGATCAGCTGTAGGGAGGCCCTTTGAAGCCCTGCGGCAAGAGTTTAAGCAGTTTTTTCCCCTCTAGCCATCATCTGGGACTCAGGAGGCAGCAATAGATTGGGGGTGGGACCAAATAAAAGGTAAGAATAACGCGGGGGGGGGAGGCGGGGGGGCAGAACCGGTTTGGTGATGTCATATTGTCACAGCTACTGGCTCGGCGGAACCGGGCGGAACCAGGAGGAACCCACCACTGATTTGCATGCATTCAAACTGCTAAGTTTCAGGAACTGGGGCTAGGACAGGAGCTCATCCTATCATGTGGCACTCAGGTCTTGAACCTGGACTGCTGGCTTTCCAGCCGACCAGCCCAGTATCTTAATCACTGAGCCACCATGTCACCCCTACCCAAGTAACCCCCTACTTGTATACCTTCTCCAAAATCACCTCTCTGCTCATCTATAACCTGTCATCATAGATTACACTGTATATCGCTTTTGAATAAGCAAATGTCTCATTCTCCCTTTTTTTTTCCAGAAGCATGACTGCAACTATTGACAGTGCAGTTGTACCTTTTTAAGTACAAAGCAAAATTAACATTGTGTGACATCATCTTGAAAAGTAACACAATGCACAATGCCTGTCCAAAGGGGAGAAAAACAAGGACAGAAAACCCCACATGGATCTAAGCTTTTGGCCAGGTAGATTGTCATTTCTACTTCCCCAACAGACATTAGGGCTTTCTACAAGAACCTGACAACTGAACAAGTTAATTATGCTAGGATATGGTAATCAGAAAGCATGGCACACTAAAAAGAAGCTCAGTCATTTGCCAAGACAGAAAAAAAAAGACACATCTCAAAGGAAACTAATTAATCTGTGCAAGGAGAAATGAACATGAATAAGAACTTAAAGAGAAGGGAGCCATTGAAATGGCTTCCCAGGCTGAATTGACACATGGAAATCTCATAGCAGGATGAAAGGAAAAGCTTTCACTTTCTACAAACACTCAACTGCACACTCAACTCAAGCAGATGCACATCCAGCTCCATAACCATTCCATTCCAAATTATATTTCTAGTTGTTGTGGTTTTGTATCACAATAACTTTCTGCATATATAAGACCCTTGTGAAATAAATTGGCAGTACGGACTTTTGGTTTCCATCCATTTGTTTTATTTATTTTAAATAGTTTAAAGCGGTTGTTTATGCACGTATTATTGCGATTAAACAGAAAAAAAATCATTTACAGGTAAAACATTACTACGTACAATTTTGTATGCAATAGCTAAGTCTGACCGCAAGTGATGCAGTTACAAATTATCCAAACCAAGAATTTTGAGCCTAGTAGCATAGGGAATTCTATTATGCACAGAAGAGTGCAAAACTTTTCTTGTAAAATACTTCTGAACCTGCTCGATTGTACTAACGTCAGATATATGGTAGGGATTCCAAACAGTTGAACAGTACTCTAAGATTGATCTAGCGTATGTTTTATAAGCTCTAGTTAGCAATACAATGTTTCCAGAAAAGAAGTTCATAGAATTAAGTTTACAACTCTTAGTGCTTTTTTAGCAATGCTGTTACAGTGAATTTTGGAGCATAGATTGTCAGAGATAAGTACACCTAGGTCCTTAACAAAGTGAGGTTCATCTGCTAGATCAACACCACCTAGCTTATACTTGACATTCTGATTACATTTACCAATATGTGAGACAGAGCATTTATTAATCAAAATTTGAAGTTGCCAAATGATGACCATTCAGACACATAATCGAGATCACTTGGCAACGCAACAGATTTATCTGTAGTATTAAATAATTACGTCATCAGTAAAAAGGACGCAATTGCTTTTAAGTATCAAATATCAACCAACAAATGCTGTCTTGCACATTGACAAAAAAAAAATCAAAACATAAAATACAAATTAGATGGACATGACCTTGTAGATGACCCTCACTCTGTCAAGGACCTTGGAGTACTCATTTCTAAAGATCTAAGTGCCCGAGCCCACTGTAACAGCATTGCCAAAAAGGCATTAAGAGTTGTTAACCTAATCTTACATAGCTTCTTCTCTGGTAATGTTGTACTACTAACTAGAGCATACAAAACATTTGCTAGACCAATTCTTGAATACAGCTCATCTGTCTGGAACCCGCACTGCATATTGGACATAAATACAATCGAGAGAGTCCAGAGATATTTCACAAGAAGAGTCCTCCATTCCTCTAACCGCAATAAAATACCTCATGCCACCAGACTTCAAATTTTGGGCTTAGACAACATAGAACTACGCCGACTTCAGTCTGACTTAAGCATAGTACAAAGAATTATCTGCCACAATGTACTTTCTGTCGATTACTATTTCAGCTTCAACCACAATAATACACAAGCAAATAATAGATACAAACTTAAGGTAAACTGTTCCAAACTCGATTGCAGAAAATAGGACTTCAGTAACAGAGTGGTCAATGCCTGGAATGTACTACCTGACTCTGTAGTTTCTTCCCCAAACCCCCAAAACTTTAACCTTAAACTGTCTACTGTTGACCTCACCCCATTCCTAAGAGGTCTGTAAGGAGCGTGCATAAGTGCACCAGCGTGCCTACTGTCCCTGTCCTAATATTCCTTTTTACTTTGAAGTTTGAAGTTTGAAGTTTATTAGATTTCTATACCGCCCTTCTCCTGAAGGACTGAGGGCAGTGTACAGCCATATTAAAACACACAGATTTATAAAATTTAAAACCAAATTAAAATCAATATATAAAATTGGCCCGCAAATTAAAACATACATACACCCATAATAAAAATCGTAATTACTTACTCTTTTCATGTATTCAAATTATGTTTATACTTTTACCTGTTATCTTATATATGCTTGATAAATAAACTTATGATTATGATTAATTTGATCACATAAATCGTTGATATAGAGCAGTGATGGCTAACCTTTTCGCCATCGCATGCCAAAAGCGGGCGGAGTGGATTGCGTGCGTGTGTGCCCACACCCATAATTCAATGTGCCCCGTCCCCCCACACATGCACGCGTGACCCCCCTGCTCTCCCCCCACTTTTGGCACGTGATGGCCCGGTAGGCCCATTTTTTGCCCTCCCCAGGCTCCAGAGGCTTTCTAGGAGCCTGGGGAGGGTGAAAATGACCTTCCCCACCCCCACTCCCCGGAGGCCCACCGGAAGCCCAGAAAGAGCCCGTTTCCCGACTTCCGGTGGGCCCAGAAGGCCTGAAAATCAGCTGGCCAGCACGCACATGCATGCTGGATTGAGGTAGGGCAATGCCCGCGTGCCCACAGATATAGCTCCATGTGCCACTTGTGGCACCCATGCCATAGGTTCGCCATTACAGATATAGAGCAAGAAAAGTGTGGGACCTAAAACGCTGCCTTGTGGAACACCACTGTTAACTGATGCAGGATTAGACATTCATCCTTAAAAGTATGAGGGCTATTATTAACTTATTATTAACAACAATACACTGGTTTGCCAAATTGTCTGTAGATCAAAGATCCTAGTTCGCATACTGTAAAACAGTCTGAAAAACTATTGGGCTAAAACTGGGTTTTAATCACATTTGCGACTTGCCCCCCAATGTGTTAAAATTCACTGCTACTATCTTCATTGTTGGAAAAGATGGTCAGAAGTAGAACAAGTAAATTAAGACTGGACTCTTATCAACACCTAAGTCTATCCAATTAAAAAGAGTTATTAATGTGTCAGAGATCGGGTGGTTGTGTTTAACAAGAAAAATGGAGCGAGCGATTGCAAGTAGATTTACTTTGGTGCAGTATTTACTAAAAGCTGGAGAAATGAATGGACAAATGTTAAATGGTGCGAATGCTGGTAAAAAAGTAGGAGGTAGTATGTGATTTCTTGTGAGAAATGAATGTTTACTGGAAGAAACGGGAAAAGGGATGTATATAAGAGAGCAGCCACTTTGCTCTATGAAATGAGAATTGCATATCAGGAGAAACATCAAACTAAGTTGAATACAACAGGAATGGAATTCTCAAGAAATGTGTATGGCAGAGCAGGAAAAGATAGAGTCTGAAATGGATAGCTATTAAATGAATGTGAATTGAATATGAAAGTGAGTTAAAGGTTTGTCACAGAGAAAAGGGAGTTGACCAATTCTCCAAAGCACCTAAAGACAAGAAGTAATGAATGGAAGTGTAGCAAAGAGAGATCCAACCTAGAATTAAGGAGAAATTTCATATCAGAGAGAATAATTAATCAATGGAATGGCTTGTCTTCAGAACTTATGGGTGCTCCATCACTGGAGGTTTTTAACAAGCTTTGGAAAGGCCATTTGTTTTTAATGGTATAGGGTCTCCTGCTTGAGCAGGGGGTTAGAATAGAATAGAATAACAGAGTTTGGAAGGGACCTTGGAGATCTTCTAGTTCAACCCCCTGCTTAGGCAGGAAACCCTACACCACTTCAAACAAATGGTTATCCAACATCTTCTTAAAAACTTCCAGTGTTGGAGCATTCACAACTTCTGGAGGCACGTTGTTCCACTGATTAATTGTTATAACTGTCAGGAAATTTCAGGTTGGACTAGAAGATCTCAAGGTCCATTCCAACTCTATTATTCTGTACAGGTAGTCCTTGACTCACAACAGTTCATTTAGTGATAGTTCAAGGTTACAATGACACAGTGGTGAAATCTAAAATTTGTTACTACTGGTTCTGTGGGTGTGGCTTGGTGGTGGTGGGGTAATGTGATTGGGTGGGCGTGGCCAATTTTTTTTTTTTTACTTTTAAAACCATTTTTTCTACAACCTCTTCGGCGAAGAGGTTGTAAAAAAAATGCTTTCAAAAGGCTCTGACGATCCCAGCTGAGTTGCCTGATCGGCAGAGGCTTCTTTTCTTTTAAATGCCTCTGACGATCCCAGCTGAGTTGCCTGACCGTCAGAGGCATTTAAAAGAAAAAAAAAAGCCTCTGCTGATCAGGCAACTCAGCTGGGATCGTCAGAGTCTTTTGAAAGCATTTTTTTACAACCTCTTCACCGAAGAGGTTGTAGAAAAAATGGTTTTAAAAGCCTTTGATGATCCCAGCTGAGCCGCGCGAGGCTTTTTTTTTACTTTTAAAAGCATTTTTTCGGCCGAAGAGGTTGTAGGAAAAAATGCTTTTAAAAGTAAAAAAAAAGCCTCTGATGATTGTGCGGCTCAGCTGGGCATGGGGGCGGGGCAGGGATTTTTGCTACCAGTTCTCCGAACCACCTGTCTCCATCACTACCGGATTGGGTGATCCGGTCCGAATCGGGAGCATTTCACCCCTGCAATGGCACTGGAAAAAAATGACTTATGACTGTTTTTCACACTTACGACCATTGCAGCAGCCTCATGGTCATGTGATCAAAATTCAGATGCTTGGCAATTGGTTGATATTTATGATGGTTACAATGTCCCAGGGTTACATGATTTGTGACCTTCTGACAAGCCAAGCCAATGGGGAAGCCATATTCACTTGACAACTGTGTTACTAAACTAACAACTGCAATGGTTCACTTAACAACTGTGGCAAGAAAGGTCATAAAATGGGGCAAAACTGACTTAACAAATGTCTCACTTGGCAACATAAATTTGGGGCTCAATTGTGGTTGAAGACTACCTGTAGTCTGTTAGTACATTAAGAGCCTTGGTAGTACAGTGGTCTAAGGCACCCTGTTATTAAGCTGGTTATTAAGACCAGCTGCCTGCAATTACTGCAGGTTCGAATCTCGCCAAGGCTCAAGGTTGACTCAGCCTTCCATCCTTTCTAAGGTAGGTAAATTGAGGACCCAGTTCTGGGGGCAATAAGCTGACTTTGTATAAATATACAAAAGGATGAAGGCTATTGCTGAGAACGTTGTAAACCACCCTGAGTCTCCAGAGAAGGGCGGCATATAAGTCAAATTAAAAAAAAAAAAGATAGTCTGGCCATATAGAGAGGATAAATTAAGATCAAACTACAAAACATGAGTTAACAGCACATGATTAAAAGGTGAAAGATGACTGAAAAAAATCATGATTAAATTGAAATGAGTTCAAAAAGAGATGAAAGGTTTAAAGAATAAAAAAAAACCAATATATGAAATGGTGCATGGACATGAAGGAAACAAGGAGGTTTGCAAAATTACAAAAACAATGTTGATGCA